CAAAGCAGACAATACAATCTGAAAAATTGTTCTGCAGTCCCTGTTTTTCAAAGAAATGGATAAATATCCTCTAAATCTACAGTTACAGTAAGTGGCACTGGCTAATGATTTGATTTGAGGATTGAGAGCACAGTCTGGATTTACTCTTTGTGCATTAACGCAGGTCAAATGGACACAGGCTGCATTTTAAATCAGTAATGGAAGGCTGAAGCCTGCCTTAAACCAGTCAGATCAGCCTTACCCAAGACCGATTGATCCCAGGAGACTGAGCCCTGTGAGCCTAGCTTTTATATGAATGGACTCTGTGCAGCCTGAAGTTTCATTCATAAAATGGATGCTGAAGGGAAAAAAAAAAAGGAAACACAACCAACACACACACACCAAACCCTGGAATGTCCATTTATGCGGAGCTGAAGGGTGTAGTGTTCCCTCAGCTGCTGCTGTTGCCAGTTGCCTTAAAGTAATGATTAATGCTCCTTGGCCCTGCCTGCCTGAAACCCGACACCATTTATGGCCTTGGTGTGTTTCTAATGTATAGTGAATGAGAAGGCTACATTCTCAAATCAGAAACATAAACAGGAACTGGTTGGTCTGAATTCCATTCAAATATGTCACTTCAGCCGTGCAGTGTTTGTCCAACTTCGATTTTACAGGCAGGGGATGGGACGGGGGAGAAAAAGCAACACAGACATTTTTGCAGTAGGATTACCAACAAAAGGAGCAAGGAAGAGAGAAAATACTGCTGTCTTTTGTTGAATTCAAAGGGAAGCGATGTTTAAAATACATTTTACAGTTACTGAGGTTAATAAAAGCAAATGCATGATTTTAAAGTATGCTCAAAAGATCACTTCCATGTGGAATTTCAATTCGGAGCTCAATGTATAAGCCTTTGTTTTCCTGTTCTGCTACATAGAAAGTTACACATCGCCTAGACAGGCTGTTGACATCTGGTCTCAGAAAATGCATTAGATGTTGTCATAGATCTAAAAACCAAAGTTGTGGAAAGGAAGCTGTTTGCTTAAGGTTTTGGCTTTTTTTTTTTTTCTGTATGTGTGTAATAATTCCACTTGGACGCGAGGTGGTGGGGCCAAATGTAGTTCTCCGGTAGGTTTTTGTCAAGTGAGATGTAGGAAATTAAACTAAACAAATCTTACTTATCTAGGGCTTTTTTTTGTGTATATCTATGAGTGCATATTCTCATAGATTATTTTTCTTTTCCCCTAATTGCTGGTATGAAGACTGGTGACAGACAAAATGATGAACAAAACCTTCCATTCTGAATGTTTTAAATGGCATAATGAATTGGGAAAATAATACTTATTTTTTAGATTGATTTTTAGAGATGATAGTGACAATTTTCACCCCTGTAACTTCAGTGGGAGCTAGGTGGGTCCAAGCTATCTGAGGGGTTTGGGCATGCCCTTCTGTGCCTTGTAGCACAAAAGGAAAGAATCTGCATGTATTGTATTCTGTGTTTCTTGCTTGTAGGAAGACAAGTGGCACAACATGTTTAAGCCTGTTTATATAAATGGACAAACTCATCACTTTGTTTTTATACCTGTAGGGAAGTAGGCAAATTTTCACATGAGGTGTTTGGTGAATTTGGGCGACTTGTTAGCAGGCTCACTGCATAAGGCAGTCCCTCACCAGTGCACTGTTGCATTCACCTGAGCTGCCACGTAGATAGCAAGGCTAGGCAGTGACTTCTTCACCCACCCTGTTTCACATTGTGCACACCTTCTAAGCCTCGATCTCCCAGTCCCTCTCTCTGCACATGCACATATGTAATGCAATACCTTGGGCCTCCAAATCTTCAGATGATGTTGATAAAGTGAACTAAAAAGTAATTCAGAGGTAGAGTGTAACATAACAACATGTCCTTCAGTTAGGAATGCTATGTAAGGTCAGAAACTGGTTCAGGTTACCAGTTCCTGCTTTACTTTGCTTCATTCAGAAGACAGTCACTTCATCCCTCTGCCTGCAGAAGCTTCGTCTTCCCTGTGTCTTGCCTGGCTAGGGATGTGAACTGAAATTCTGCTTGTCTCTCTGCAGGGTGTGATTGTGGGTCTGAAACTTGGTCCTTATTTCTGAAACACAAGTGGAAAAGAGGATTTAAAGATTCCTTACCCACTTTGAGTTTTACAGGGCTAAGACAACCTAACCCTTTAAATTCTGATACGGTAATATGAAATACTTCCTTACCAAGGGACCCCTCAACGGTCTTACTCAATAATGAAACCTAGAACCTGTGCCTGCTAAATTCAGTAGCTGATTTTTCTTGTCCTGAGGAAGTCTGTTTGGGCTTTTTCTGCTTGGATGTATTTTCATTAAGGCACAGGAGAGCTTACTTCCAGTATTTGTCTCTGTGACAGTCCCTGATGAGAAGACATTTCTGCAATGTCTAGATTACACATAATTTTAAAACAACGCCTACTGGGGAAAGATATTTTCAAATCAACATGATATAAGTACATATTAATTGTTTTAAGATGACTGCTGTGTTTCTGTTAACAAGTGAAGCAATGAAGAATGACCTCTTAGTATTTCAAATTAATAAAGAAAGATAAATAATTTTTTTATGTGTCCATGTTTTTAGTTAGAGTTGGGTTTTTTCTTTTCTTAAAGAGACTCTGCTGTTCTTGAGATAATGTAACCTTAAAATGTGAATTACTTCATTAAAAGCCTGAAGTAAGCTTCTTTTGTGTCCTTAATCCAGGCACATGTTTTTTCAAAGACTAAAATTTGCTAAAAGGTGATAGAATAACTCACCTCAAACACTCAAATGTTGCCCTGGATGTATTTTATGCCTACTTCTATCTCATTTGTTGTCTTAAAACAATGCTTTAAGGAGAAGAAAACATATAATTGCTCTGTAATTTCTGCACTAAAATGTTTTCTTTTGAAGTAGCTCCGCTTAGCTTGTAAAAATACTTCTGGGTCTTAGTCAAGCATTTAGTACAATTTAAAACTGCAATGCTAAATTTCATTGGTTGGACTTTTTATTAGATAAGGTAGAAATGAAAGCAGCAGGCAATTTAATTAGCAGTAATTTTTCTGGTCAAGTCATTACTTTGATGAACTTCAGAGCAATGTTTATGGCTCCTAATTAACCATGTTAGTCATTTGATTGAATAATCACTTTGGAAATGTTTCTACAATTTGATTAGAGTCTGACCCACTCTGATAGTCATAAATTAACTGATAGCACTTTAGGATAACAAGGCTGTAGTTACTTTACTAGAAATAAACTCTTCCTTGCTGTATTTTTCGGTCCTCTGTGGGCTGTTTAAGCACAAGCTAACCAGAAGATTAAGTAATGTTGGTACAAACAATGCTTGCCTTAAAAAGACTCCAGATGTTAATTATAATTGACTTAGAAGCATGGGAGATGAAACCCCAAATTGGCTAAGAACATAACTTCGTGGATGTGTGCCTAATTCTTTATTCTGGGTACTCTGCTGTATCACTTTGCAAGAGTGGAGTTCATGAGTCAAAAAGGGTTTTGCTGCCAATACTAGTGATTTTTTTACCTAAAATAGAAAGTAGCATCTGTTTCAGTTCTACGACTTCCTCTTTTTTTACGTAGATTTTTCCATTCTCCTTAACATTCAATCTACTTGTTAACATGAGTGATTCCTTGCAGGTGAACTACTACTTAATAGCCTTGACTTCTAGTCTACAGAGCTATACTTGACTCGCATGATCACTGAATCACTTATTCCTGTGGTTGCTCAGAATAGCTGCCTGAGACGTTAGAGATTCTCGGGGCCTGAGGAGGCAGGCACTGGGCGTTTCATTGAGAGAGGAGGTAATGAAGAGTTTAGCACAGATGTGGAAGAGAGACTGTGGACTGTTAGAGGAAACTTATTATTACTGCCCCATGTTTCACTTGTTTTGTGAAGTCAGTGTAAAACCTCATTTACTTATCCTGCCAGATCTTTGATACTCATCACCAGTCAGTGAACAGTGAAATTTGGAATCACAGTCTGAAAGAGTCTGTAGGCAGTGTTGGAAAAATAGCATCTGCTCTTTCGACCTCTGTTTGCATCTCTTTAAGAGTTACAAGTTACTGGTAACAGATTGCATAGCCTAGGGTAGGAGTTTATCACAAGATCAAATAGACTTTGTTAAGCAGGACTCCTGATATCCAAGAAGTGTTTTAAATGTAGTCTAGAAGAGCAAACATTTATGGCGTATTTCTGTTTGCAAGTCCCAGTGCACAGGATGTGGCTACTTGGATACAGTGCAAGACATGGGTTAAAAATGGAAGGACATTTAAAGTACACAATTTTCACTAGTTCTGTTTGTTTTTTCTAATTATTCTTGCAGATTTTAGTAAAGGTGGGGAATGGCAAATAAATATCTGTGTTACTCAGAATGTGCACAGTAATTTTTTGGGGTGTGTGTGCCTTTTTTTTGTTTAAGGGTGTACGAGTGGAGGGTAAAACAGATGCATCTGAATTCCTAGATTAAATACTTAGAAACAGCAGAAAATTTCATTAACCCTTTAAATTCCTAAACAGATTGTAAAAATCAATATCCTACGCAAAAGTCCCTCTGACGTTCCTTGCATTAATGTAGAGTTTGTAAGTCTCCAGTGACAGGCAGCCTTTTCTGTGTAATTGATTAAAAATGTTAGGTCACATTAGTTACATAGAAACACAAGTATAGGGTTTAAAATAGTAGTCTTCTGTGGATTTTTTGGTCTGTGAATGGTCTAAAATGTAATTGTCATGGGAGTCAGCTTTTATCAATGTTGATTACAGTAAAGGTTCGAGTTCAAGTGCCAAAATTAGATGGGATCTGTGATCCTCACATTATGATTTCCTCCTCTGCCATGCCTTGTGCATGCTGCTTTGAAATGCTGTGTGTTGACAGGTTTCCCTGTGCTGTAACTTGCATCCTTTCTGTTGCTCTTCTGCCTGCAGCCTGTCTCATTGATAACCTGCACACTATTAATTACAGACAGTCTTTTGATTAGTATTGTCGTCTTCTTTCAGAAGTGCCTAGCTGCCATTCCATTTACATGAGGCAAGAAGGCTTCCTGGCTCACCCAAACAGAACAGAAGTTAAGTTTTCTATTATGTATTGCTTTTGTATGAGAGAAATGTAAAAAATTAAAAAGCCTGGAGGGATTTGGGGTTCATTGGTTTAATTCTGCTGCTGGGAAGACTCGCATCATTTTTCTTCCCTTCCCAGTTTTGAGTTTCTGGTGAACTGATATTTTTTTGATGCTTTTTCTAGTGCCACAGGTTGATCAGGGTAGAAGCACTTTTTTTATAAATTTACTCATATTTACTCATATACTCATACTCAATTTCCTTATTCTGCTTTTCAAGGCTTCTAGCAGTTGAAAGGAACAGACACTTAAAAATTTGTCCATTTCACCCATTCTGGTCAAGTGATATTTTCCAGGCTAGTGGTGTGACAGGCTCAGTTAACGTTAAGTAATCCATTTTATACTTCAAATTCAGTGACAGTTTTTGGCTTTTCCTTCTGTTACGATTTTTGCAGTGTTTTGGTGCTGCTTAGGCCCATATTGTGCAGCCATGTGATACATATCAAAACTGTCAGTGACTTCAGTAGGGCAGAGCTGATATCACTGTCAAAATTAATAATTCTGAGTTAAAAGCGCTTTATATGTATTAAAAATCAGAAGGCCAACAGAACTAATTAAAAATAACTACTGAAAAAGAAGTGGTACCCTCCGCTCCCCTGCTTTGGTGTATCTTCCTTGCCAATATAGGATTTTTTGTTTGCTTGTTTAAGGTTTGTTTTTCTTCCATGGGGCAAATTTCACAAACATGAGGGGAATTGGTTTTCAGATTGATGAGAATTCAGACAGATGTATGAATCAGGGTTCTCTACTACGATTTCATTCACAACTGGAAAGATAACAAATCTGGCTAAAAGCCCAGCTGCTTCTGGAGTGGAATAAAGGCAGAAATAAAAATACAAAGTAGTGTTTAACAAGGAGGGTGAAACAGGGGATGGAAGTTTCTAACAGTCTTGGTGTATGAAATTACATGAAGTATAGAAGTTTGATAAGGGAGGTGAAAGACATCAGGGAAAGATCCACAAACTGCAGGTCTAAGGTCAACAGGTTTGAGTTTCAATCACAGCATGGATTGTTTTTCCCCTGTCTTAGCCATGTTATGCACTCGTAGGTGGTGGTAAAAATGTTATGAATGACATAGAAAAAGCAGTGATGTTTGATAAATATTTGGGTTTTGTATTTGGAGATCAGTCAGCATGATTTTATGGAATAAAGGTCATGTCAGATCCGATTCTACTCTTTGCTGAGATTAAACATTTGATTGGTATACTTGTATCGTATACTTAGACTTTTTATGGCATTCAGTTTGCCACTGCATTACATTCTGATTAAGAAGTTAGCACAAAACGGTATCAATAAAGTACACATTAAATACATTAAGACCTGGCCAACTGACAGATCTAAAAGTGGCTGTCACTGGGCAATCATCTCTGAATGGATTGTTTCTGTTATAGTTCTGTAGGAATTGATATCAGGAGTGTTGCTATTCAACATTTTCAGTAAAGATAGGGAACAAAGTTAATAGATAACTTTATGGCACAGAGATAGGCAGAGTGGTAAATAACGGGCAGGACAGGGCAGTCACACAAAGCAGTTTGAATTGTTTGGTAATCTGGGCACATTAAACAAGATGTTTTTTTAATATGCTTGAATGTAGACCAGGCCTATGGAACCAGGAAACAGTATACTGGAAAAAATGATTTTGAGATGGGCCTCCTCCTCGGCTTCACAGTGGGAAACCAGCCCAACCAAACATTGCAACCATATGGCAGAAAAGCCTTCTGTAATATTTGCACAGCCAAAAGGAGGGTCATAGGGTGGCAGGAGAGGAGGAGATGTTTTGTCTTGCTAAGTAGCACTGATAAGGCTGAAAACTCGCATGCAGTACAGTTCTGGTTAACCAAAGCATTAAAATAATACTGAAAAGTGAGAGCGTGTACTGAAGAGAGTGCTAGAAAGAATGCAGGGTTGCAGAGAGTGTCTTTTAACAACAAATTAAATTTTACAGAGTAATCTTAATTGGAATAAACATCGAGACAGGGTGTGACTTCTGTGAGTGAGGAGGAAATACCAAATAGGACTTTCTTAGTCTTGCAGGGAGAAGACCCGCAGGAACTAGTGGTTAAAAGTCAAAGCCATGCTAGTTCAAACAGGAAACAAAACAAACATTTTGGAATAAATCATAGAGAAAAATGGGTGCTTTTTCATTTTTGCAGGTGGAGATTAACAGTCTTTTGGGAATGTGCACATTAATTAAACACCCCTGTACTGTGGCCAAAATGTTGCGATTGGGCGGTGTGTAAAGGATGTGGGATATTAATCTGATTCCTCTGTGACTTAGTGTTCCCTCTGGCATTAAGCCTGTGATTTCTTTCTCCATGCATCTTTTATATAAACACCTCTCTTTCTTTAACTTACAGGCTGTATGTATGAAAAAGGACCTAGGCAGTTTTATGATGACACTTGCGTTGTTCCAGAGAAGTTTGATGGTATGTATGACACATCTCTCTCTCTTTTTCTTGTGTGGGGAGATGAAAAAGGAAGAGATGAGGGACTTTTCTCTGTTGCTGATCAAAAAACCTTGGTAACATTCCAGTTTAGGATTCCTTAACACACTATTTGCAGTGCGCCCAACCAAAGCTGACCTTTGTCTCTGGAAACCAAAGTCTTCTCTTCAATAGGATGTTGTTCGACTTTTGCCAGCAAAAGATGCTATATCCAGAGTTGTGGCAGAGGAGCTCAGTTCCTGCACTGTTGTGAAGTAATAGCAGGATTTCCATTGCACTGATGATCACATACCACTTGTTGTTTGAGATTTAATGAAAGCCGTTCTTACAATTAACAAAACATCACAGAAAGAAGCAGCTTTGGTTTTACTGAGAATTAAGCTTCTTGTCTCACTGTCTGTGAAGTGATGAATAGTGAGTGTATAGGGCATTTTTGTGTCAATGTATTTGCACTAGGTTAAACATTTTACTAGTGTTTTATTTTTCAGTGGGATTGATAACAAATCAATGATCTTTTCACAATACTATCCATTACAACAGATTTTTTTTTTTTTTTCAAGAGGGATTCTGAGGTCAATTAAAATAAATGGCCCAAATTATCCTCAATTACTCTGATGTAAAATCAGTTTCCTGGTGTAACTCAGTAGATTTCAGAAATATTTCATTATAGACAAAGGAGATGAACTCGGTATTTCTTGCCAGTGACTCTGTTAGTCTGCAACTTTGGGAAGTAATTTGGAGACCAATTACTTAAATTTGATAGATCAGCTTCTTTTTGTTAGTATATATCTGCCCAGCTTTATTTATTTTAGCAGGAAAGATTAGATACTTTCTGATAAACTTGTGAACAGCTCTCTGACCATAGCTAAAAGTAGAGCTGGAAAACTCTTGGGGTTTTTGTCCTGCTTTATTTTGTTTGTTTTTCCCTGAGAATCACTTATATGAATTAAAAAACTGCTGTGTGACTAGCAGCATTTGTTGTGTTTGCTGAAGAATGGGAGACTCCAGAATGAAAGTAAGCTGAAGAATTACACATTCCTCAAACGGAGATATGATGTGCATGTCAGGGTTACAAGAATAGCAAAGGAATAGAAAGAAATAAATAAAGGATTTTAAATACCGCTATACCTAATTGAAGATTGCTCAATCCGGTATTACGTTGTCACTGGATTGACACATTCACTGAAAGGGTGTTTTATTGAATGTCTACTTTATACTCTGGCTTTGGGATGTATGTTGGTTTTGTTTTAGGTTTTAGTTTTCCTTTTTAAAGCGCATCATGTCAGCTTTTTTCCTCCCCCAGAAATGACTGTGGACCCGATCTTTTTTCAGTACCGGTGGAAAATTCATAATTAACATTTATGGGAATGGGATCAGATTTTGTACTGCAAGAAGTTAAAACTCTCCAGGAGTAGCATTTTGTCTATGTCTGTCTTGAAAATCCTTTTTGTTTGTTTGGGTTTTGTACAGGGAAGGTAATGAAAATGGAAAAGCAATAAGAATAAAGTAAAATAAAGAAATGAATGTTTGGAAATATCTGAGTGCTTGCAAAGTAAGTAGTCTGCTGCTAGCTTCTGTGACCATCCATTGAGAGAACACCTTGTACTCTAGAAGACAGATGTTGTGTTACAAATAGTTGTGTTTATACTAGTAGCAAGAAGACTTTTGAGGAAAAAATAGCAGATGTATCATCATGTTTTGGCCAGTAAAGCAAAAGTGGAATAAGCTCAGGAGTAGTCTTGATGTTTCAGAAGCAGATTCTCAGCTGCTTCATTTGAAATCGAAGATCAACGCAGGCAAGGAATCTGATCCTCTGAAATACAGCACCTGCTATTTGTGCATTGCTCAGCTCTCATTAAAAAAATTCTGTCCTTGAAGGCCTTTCAGGACTGGAACTTGAGCCTCACATAAACCACAAAGCTTAGTGTTGATTTATTAGTTTTCCACAGCTATTGACTCAATTTTCTTTCCTGATTACAAAAGGAAGTGCTCCATTTTTAATATTATTATTCCTTCTTTCACCACACGAAGCTGTTCCTTAATGGCCATCAGAGCATTCTAATGTTGTGGTCAAATGTGAAGTTGTGGTATTCCGTATTAAACAGGTCACACTGCTTATTGGGGGGAGTGGTGGGGGGGGTGTGTGTTGCTGTTCTAATAGTTGAAATGAGGGTTTTTTCCAGCATATCATGAATTCCTGTCAAAGTGTGTAGAAAAAAAAGTACTCTCTGCTTCAGCATCAGACCTTTCAGCTGGTTTTTGTTTGTACGAGTTGTTTAGTATGAATATGATTGAAAAACAGCAGAGACGTAGTATGGATGTAGAAGGATGGTTTTTCATTGGCAGTTTGTGGAACAGCTAGCAGAATATGATTGTTTTTTAAAAGCTTCCTCTGAACTTGAAATTTTAGAAAAATTAACTTACTGCTTTTCAAGATGAATGGTAATCTAGTATGTAGATATGAGTAAAAGCAATGTGCGCTTATATGCAAGTCCACTATGCCACAGAGGAACTCGCATATCTGCAGGATTTGCATACCTATACATAAAGCACATGCTGTTTAAGTCCAAGTCAAATACTTCGTCAAATTTTCCTTTGAAGAGTTTGCATGCAAAAGAAGTTTCTCTCAATAGGGTTTTGCAGCTTTATGAGGCATACATTGCATTTCCAAAACTGGGGCTTGTACAAAGTGTAGTACACAAATGCAGTTCTTAAGACATCAGAGTTGCTTACAAAAATAGTTACAGATAGAGGATGTTGCAAAATGGTTTGCAGGCAAGACTTGCATGTATCTGAAATAAATAGGGATAGGCTTAGGGAGACTTCCATAAATCATGACTGAATTTAGGTACTTTTTGGTATTTTAATATGTTATTTTAAGAGTGTTTAACAGCAGGTAGGGGAATGTTGCATTTGTGGGTGTCTGGGTAATAAGAATCCTTTCCCTCCGTTTTATTAACCCCAGTGATTGCTTTGCTGGTTTATCTGATGAGCAGAGTGCTGATGCATTTTGCGCATTGCTCATGGAACATTGTTGCTATTCTGTATAGGTGATGTCAAACAGGAGCCAGGCATGTACCGTGAGGGACCTACGTATCAACGGCGAGGCTCGCTTCAGCTGTGGCAGTTCTTGGTAGCTCTTCTTGATGACCCGTCAAACTCTCACTTCATAGCATGGACTGGCCGAGGCATGGAATTCAAGCTGATTGAGCCGGAGGAGGTAGGTTAGCTAGGCAGCATGCCCTGACATCCACTGCCCGATCCTGCAAATGTAGTAGTGCCCCTTCAGACTTAGGCCTTGTTTTTCTTGAATATTTTACTTCATAGCACTCTGGAAGGGTGATGAGGGAAAGGACGACAAGGGAAGTATTTCAGTTAGGACAGAGTCGTGGTTAAGCATAAACTTGATTCCTGGTCCCACAAAATAATAAAAGTACTGCAAGTGCTGGAGTTACAAAATACTCGGCATAAATTGTGGGGCCTGGATTTATCAGAACCACATCATGAATAGCTGTGTTCCAAAATCCTTTGACAACTTGTCCCTGAATAGTCTTTCAATACCAAATATTTTTCAATGTGAAATTGTGGGAACGTAGAACTTTTAGGAGATTAAGATTGTCAGGCAGTAAAATCCCATCAAAATTATATAAACTCTCCTCTTTTTAGAGTCTTCTTCAGTCTTTCTGCTTATCTGTATCCTTAGGTTGTTTAGTGCATGCTTAGATCCTAGGCTTGCAAACAGCCATGCACATGCACAGCTCTCCTGAACCATGAAGGACTTGCTAAAATTACTTGTATTCATGTACACTTGCTGAAGCATGAGTTACTTCACTTGTGTGATGAACAGGAATAAATTGCACATTTTATTACATAAGCTTTTTTGGTCTAGGTAACATTACGTTATCTATCCTGTGATCTAAACAGCCATGGAAACTGTTGGAAAAGCATGTGTGTGTGAATTTCATTGTAATACTGATTTGGATAATTTGATTAGGGTTGTCAAGAAGTAGTATCATTCTGGTTTAGTTTTTGGCACCTTGGACAGGTTTGAGCAATAGAGGAGACTGCAGCAAATTGTCTTTCATGATCCCCTCTGAGCTAGAGCTGAGTAGGAATGTTAGGCTACTTGTGTGTTCCACCAGCTATTTCTGCTGTTTGCCATCCATTTGCTGGCGTAAGCAGTCTGAAAGCTTTCTTGCATTTAAGTTACATCATATGCCAACAGCCCTAAGTTGGGAATAGCAACAGCGCTGATGGCCATTTCCTTCCTGACATGGTCTAGCAGAGGGGAGGTTGCTGGAAGCACCTGTGTGCTGGCTTTCATTTGTCTGTGCATCCCCCCTGCTAGTGATAGTCACTGTGGCAGATCCTGGCATTGTGCATCTGAGGATTTAACCACAGAACAGTCTTAGTTGATTTCCTACCAAAACTTTGCTGGCAAGACTGCAGCCTTAGCATCCTCCATGGTCTTCTTATTCATGTGACCAGGGCCAGAACAGAGTGAAATCTTTGGAAAGGCTTTTATGTGTACTCGGTGAATGAGGTATCTAATTTTACCCCCTTCTCAGTATTTTTTACCATTTTTGTTTTGTCTGTAACATATGTTCAAAGTTTTTCAAGACTGAAGAATTTCATTGAAAAATGGTTTCCAGCAGATGGTGCAAAAACTTTATAGATTTTATTAGCTCAGGAATGGAAAGTACCAAAACAAACCCCTAAGGTTTCCTGATTGTGTAATTCCCTGAAGAGCTGGATATTCTGATTTAAGTTAACCAGATCATCTGCTTGTTTGACTTTGTAGCAGTTGCTTTGTATTTCTGAGCAGCACTGCATCCAAGATCTGGAGGAGGCAGGCTGCTTGAAATTTGCCTCACTTTGGTATGTTCTTAGAGAGTACAAAGGGACCTAAGTTGTTTTCATATGAATGTCATGGATCTGACAGCAACTGTCAATTAAAATAAGAATAGCCAGCAGGAAGTTGCTCACTTCTGTTGGTTGCCAGGTGTAAATTGAAGGGAAGTCAAAGAGCTTGTTGGTTCAGCTGTGGCAGGTTATGATGTTAATGACATGACCTTTCCATCCCATCCCTTTCTGGGGGTTTATGCCCTTGTAGAATGGTGACAACAAAAATGAATATGTATCATCTCCTTGAGCACCATAGTTCATTCAGAAAGTAGGTAACTGCAGACTGTGGAGCTCAAAATTAGATGTAGGTCCATTTATGCTGCTTTGTCACAGGGACAGCAACCTTCAGCAGGAAGGTGGGATGGAAGGCTAGAAAGCTGAAGGCCTTCCACAGCATTTATGAAGTCTTACTCCGTACCGTTCAGGGATAGGAAGACTTGCTTACCAAGACTGTTTCTGGACCTGCTTGCTTATTTAAGGATGTCAAAATACCACACAATATCGCATATTCTAAACCATTATTTTGTTGTTGGCTGTCTTCGCTGTGTATTGATTTATCGTGCAAGCCTGCCATGTTGTGGACTTTTAGGACTCTGATTAATATAGAAAAAAAACCTTGGTAGGATAAACAAAGAGTGATGTAGGCATATGTTATAAAGATGAGTAGGCAAATCAAGGTTATGCATCTAGGCCAAATCTACAGCTGGAATAAATTGACAGGATTTGAGGTATGTTTCAATACATCTATAGCATAGCTGGAGTTAGCAGGGCCTTGACAATGTACATAAGCCTGAAAAGCTGCACCATTGAAAGGAAATAATGCTTTCAAAAGAAATTTTAAAAATTATTGTCCAGGCGGAGATCAAAGTCATGGATTTTGCTGTTGTTATTTAGTCCCCTTCAATTCTCAGTTCTGCATGTTGTCTGTGGTTTGCATCAAAAGGCTCCAAACACCTGTGGGAAGGTTTTGTAGAGCACTCTACAGAGAAGCTGCTTGGCTATTTTCTCCTTTTTCCAGAGCTGTATGCATATGCACATCAAACATGTTTATAAAATGTTTATAAAAAAGAGGCCATCAGCTCTGACTTTTTTTTCCCTCTGGTGACATGATAGTAATTTGTACCGCCAATAACTGAAATGTCACCAACAGCCGATTCTAGTTTCAGGTGGAGAATAAGCAGTTAAGCTCTTTAAACCAAAGGTCTCTTTGTCCAAAACTACCTTTGGTGAGAAATCAGGAAGTGTAAAGGCAAGTAGAAATCATAAGTTACATTGTTCTCTATGGAGTGGCTTCAGGAGTTGCTTGCAGCTCCCCTTTTATTCTTATACAGATGCAACTATGAAGTTTCTGTCCCAGTTTTCATACTACCATATAGTTCTTCCGAGTGATTACCCATCTCCTGTGGTAAATCACTTTCTTTGCCAAAGTAATATTTAAAACTGGGAGTTTGTGTTAGACTTGCATCTCCTATTAGTCTCACTATTGCTGTCATTCCAAGTACAGTCTGTGTTAGTTCATGAACTAAGTGTGTATGCATGTGTGTTTCGTGTAACTTGGTCTTCTGACAGCAAGGAAATCACAGGAATAGTAAAACTGCCCACATTATCAACCTAAAGAACAGATTGCATCTCTTATGAAAGTTTTCTGGTGGAATTTGGTAAATATTTTTTGTCTATAATCTCTTTGTATGGCTTTATTTTCTCATTGTTTTTCTCTATTAAAACACAAGGCCAACATCCACCCCCCCCCCCAAATCCTCTATCATATTTGCAAATAAGTAAGTCTCCAAGTTTAATGGATGACTCGGGGTCCAATTAAAAAGCATAGTAGTATGTGGGAAATTCAGTTCGTGGCAAGCTTTTCTCTTGTGTTTATTCCTTGCACCTGCAAGGTTCCCCTTCTTCCATACCTAAATAAAGTATCTGATTATAAGATCTGATTGTTAAATGCATTTAATGAATCAATGCTAATCCATTTTTGTGGCAGGTTGCACGTCGCTGGGGGATTCAGAAAAATAGGCCAGCTATGAACTATGATAAACTTAGCCGATCACTTCGCTATTATTATGAAAAGGGAATCATGCAAAAGGTGAGTAGCTAATTTGTATTAAATTTCACCAATGTTGCATGTTAATCCACATCTCAGCTTATTAGGAGTACTTGTAACCACATTGCTTATGCAGGTTTTCCATCTATTTAGGCAAACATTGAGTTTTTTTACATACCAGGTCCAGGATATGCATCAAGATTTTTTTTTTCTATACAAAAAATGTCTGTGGTTTTAGTTCACACAATGCACAAAATGATTATAGGGAAAGAGGTGATATTCAGAAATATCCAAAAGAGCTTCCTGACACCCGGGAAACAGTGAGTGTGGTATGAATAACCTTTTGCAGATCTCAATCAGCTGCCCAGCACTTGGGTACTTTGGTAAGTGCAAGATAGGGGAGAAAAATGATACCTATTAACATACCAAATACTTTAATATTTTACCAATTTTGTTGTAATAATACCATTTTTAAGTGGAATTTAATATTTTATAATAGGCTGAACTATGAGAAATATTTAACAATAATTTATATATAACAGCCTGGTCTTGCTGACAGTATTCAACTCGTCCTTCTGCTGTGGTTTTCTGATTTACATGTATGTTTTTAAATTTGCTGTGTAGTACTATGTAGATTGAGAAATCAATAGGAGAGAACTCTCTGATGCATCTGCAAAACTGGCAGGTGTGATCAAAGATCATAATGAACACCTTGTACTTGATGCATATCTTTTCATATTAGTTTTGTGACCTGTGATGGGTAACATGTTTGAACTTGCCATTTCCCTGAATGGAAACAGTGGTCTCTGCTCAAGTTACTGGGTAACTTTTCCTGTAGGTTTTGTGAAGTCTTCATTTAGAATTGCCTGTTACAATTTTTTTTTGCTTTGATTATGGAGTCGTTGTAGTGCTCTCCTTTTTCACTATCCAGGAGTCAACTTGAACAATCTGGCCTGGTATTGATTTATGGTACTTCAGTTGCACAGCGCCGATCCATTTTTACGTGTCACATAACTGCACTGAGACTCTGTAAAGTGGACTGGAGACTGGGTCTGGTCAGGAGAAGCAGAAATGCTTGATTTTGCTGGGCAGTGTTCAGGAAGAGGGGTTCCTTGTAGCACGTTACAGCTCAGCTGCATAGACAGTTGCGTGGGCACAGTTCAAAGGTAGCATAGAGGCAAGAATAAGTAGCAGAGTGAAACAGGTTGAAAAATGTGGGGATGGGAATACCATAAGGCTGACAATGCTTCCCAACCCACGCATTCATTCCATATGGAAAGTTTACAAATTCTTCTGACACCTAGCTTACTACTTCTTAAACTACTTTACTATCTACATGAATATATTAACCACACATTTTAAAAGGCATTTTGGATGCTTATTTTTCTAACATAGCAATGCTTGAGGTTTGCCATGGGGTCACCCTATCTGGCCAATTAGTATATGTTAGAAAGTAATGATGGTTGTAGATTCACAGTGGGTTTCTTTACTGCAAGGTTTGTATGCGCATATTTCCTCTTTTAAGTTTAGAAGTGACAACAGGTAATGCAAATGCCCAGTTTCTGATGCAGCCATCAGTTTGTCAAGCTTGCTGACATGCCTTTGTTAAAAAAAATTCTACTGCAGATAAAGCCTCTACTAAAAGTTTACATTATTTGTAGACTAAATTAGCTGAACATTTGAGGAGGTGATTCAGACTGTTTTCCACCAATAAGACTAGATTTAAGTTTGCAGCACTTCTGCCACCTTCATTCACTCACTTCCAATGCTGTGCTAGCTAGAATTACAAGAAGCAGACAATATAACCTTTATTTTAAAATAATCTTGATAAACCATGGGCATGCAGGTTTAGTTTTTGTTTGGATTTTTTGGTTTGGTTTGGTTTTTTGATAAGACCTGTATTGTTTTTATCATGGTTTAGCTTTGAGGAAGATGCAGCACAGACATTTGGTGCTGTTTCTGAATAAGGGGAAACTATAGGATCCTTGGGCAAATTGTGCCTCTGTAAGCAAATCCAAATGTCCCAGCTTTGCATGAGCGATTGCTAAGTACATATTAGCCTACGTATTTGCTTACACTGTCCCTGTACAATCAGCATGCACTATAACTTAAGTGCTTTTATACGTAAGTATGAATCAATCTATGTAAAGTGAAATTCAGATCTCTATCATGCAATGTGATTCTTTTTTCCACTTGCACACAGCGTGTTGGACTTAGTCATTTTATTTTGCCACTATAGTGACAATTTGTTTACATTTTCCAGTAAGAACAGTTCCATTTGTGGTTAAGTATAGGAAATGATTGCAAACAAGTGTTTAGAAGTAGAATACCTAGTCCATCTTCCAACAGGATATCACGTGTGGCAAAATCAAGAGCACTGTGCACAGTCTGCTTCTGCAGATCCCTGTTGTCTTACTAGGTCATTGCCTTACCAGTTCTGCTGTTGCCTTATTAATTGCATAATGAAGGTGGGTTCTTCACAATACTGTTGAACTTGGAGCTGTAAAACCACAATGTCTTACGCTGAACCTTTTTCTCTCTTCTTTTGTCCTCAGGTGGCTGGAGAAAGATACGTCTACAAGTTTGTTTGCGACCCTGAAGCGCTTTTCTCCATGGCTTTTCCAGACAACCAGCGCCCCTTACTGAAGACTGACATGGAGCGCCACATCAATGAGGAGGACACTGTGCCTCTCTCCCACTTTGATGAGAGCATGGTCTACATGCAGGACGGTGGCTGCTGCAACACCCACCCCTATAACGAAGGCTATGTCTATTAACAACAGTGACAGTGAAGGGGATGTTTCCCCCCTCCTTTAGGCTTCTCCTCTTTCACAAGACCCAGAGGAAAGCTAAATCGACTTCAGTTTGTTTTTTAAATAGTACACTAAAAGGGGCTTTTCCTGTTGCATTACTCCTATGGTCTGCCATGGACAGCGCACTTTATTTGAAAGGGGAGGGTTGGAACCTAAATGTTATGCTATGTAACAGGAGGAAAAGGGTGGGTTTGCTTTTTACTTAAGTTTGGGAAGGGAACATACAAATTTTAAGTACAAAAAGCTATATCATGTCTGTTTTGTTTCATATCAGCATAAGATATTGTACATTTTCTCTCTGGGTATCCGTAGTACAGTTAATTCTCATTGTGCAAAATAACCACTTGATGATATCAGCACAGCATGCCTAGGGCATTTGTTTCTTGCCATTCTTAATTGTCTTTCTGCACTTCTAAAAGAGAAGCAAAGCATATACCACAGCATTTAATTTAGAAGCTTGCAGTGGCAGACCTTGCACCTTGCCTCTGAAAACAACATCCATCTCAAGAGTTTGTTTTTTTTTTTCCCCCTTTCTTCTTGTTATTTTTTCCTTTTTTTTTCCCCCTTTTTTTTTTTTTTTTTTTAATGGACTCCTGGAAAAGTTGTATGACCCCAAACAACTCTTTTTTTAATGACCAAGTGGCCGTAAGTACAGTGACCAAGCAGCAAACTCTCTGACTTCAGACTTCAGAAGCCGCATGCTGTATCTGGTGCCATGTTGCTATACATATGGACTATGCTATGGCTTAGACCTTTCAAGATCCATTTGAGGGTAATAATTACATGTGGTAGGCTTTCTGATGATCATGTCAGCATTAAATACAGGATCATGATTGGGAGGGAGAAAACATTTTCTATCCTTCCATTTCCTTTGGTACATAAATAAGTTATTTAATCAATAGGAATTAACTGTACTAAGTCACATATCTAATTATGCTGTTTAGACACAGCAAGCACTCCTTGAGAAAAATATCCAATACACTAAATAGGTACTTTAGTAATTTTTAGACATGGTACCCATTAATATGCATTTAAACCTTTTACTGCTGTGTTATGTTGATAACATATATAAATACTAGATAATGCTAATGCTTCTGCTGCTGTCTTTTTCTGTAATATTCTCTTTGATGCTGAATTTACTATGACCATTTATAAGCAATGCTGTAACTACAGGTAGCATTTCAGGACAAAATAGATGACTTGAACCATTTATTGCTTAGAAAATAGCTTACGCCATAGCTGTGCTATAAGCAGCTTTTATGCGCATCCACAAATGACTAGTAAGCTTCAGCTTGCTAAGGAAAGCTCTGCAGAACCTTCTGTAATTTTCGGTGGAACGGAGGCTTAGACGAACTGTCAAACAATACCATGAAGTCGCTGTATGACGTTGTAGTGCTGGCACTGATGTTACCAATCAACTTGTTTTGGACACTAAACGTAAATGTGATCAGATATGCTCAGAAGACAATTTAAATTTTGAGGTTTTTTTTTTTCTTGTTATTTTTTTAAATTGTTTTTTTGAGGGGGTAGTCTTGTTCACAAGCCACACATACTCTTATATATGTAAAATGAAAAGAAAAAAAAAAGCCCTGACAAACACCTGAAAGTTTTAACTATTTATGAGCACCTTTTCTGAAATATAATATTTCCTAGTTTGAAGGGAGGGAGAGGGGTAAGTTCTTGATTTCTTTTTTGGTTTGTGAAATTTAAATAGGTGTTACATGGAGTAATTCATTTTCCAATACTCCCAAGAAGCTGGAGGAAAATGAATGCATAGTCATAAGACAACAAGAATAATTTACATCATAATGGATAGATTTCAAAGACAGTCTTAGGTGGTGGGTTAATTTTCCATCCTCCGTCAGTTAAGACACCAGTTAAGCTATGAATATTTTAATATGCAGTTAATTAAAAATGGTCACTAGAAACCACAGGTGCGTAAAAAACATTTGGGCAGGTATTTAATTTACTCAGATCCATAAGACAACATATTTTATTTGAGCATATATATGCCTTAATATGTCACCTAATTCCATCATCCATAAGTCTCAGTGGCACTTAAATTTTCAGTGATTAACCCAGAATCAGAAGTCTGAAATTGCAAAATTAGCAAAAAAGGAAAGGGAAGAGGTTGAGTAAGATTGTTTAAAACGATGTGGTATCCATTGAAATAAGGTTCAAATGAAACATGCTTTGATGAAAAGTCCTTGGATTGGTTTTGGTTCTTTAATGTCAGCATGGAGCGCCTCTTGCCTGTGGCAGGATGTGGGTATTTGGGACAGGGGTTGGATAAAAAAGGAAAAAAAAAAAAGGGAAAAAAAAGAAAAAAAAGAGGAAAAAAATGCATCAAATGTGTAATATTTAAGAAGAAATATATATATATCTGTATATGGTAGTGACTCACTGAACAAAGCAAGCAATCAGACCAACATTACATGATCTCAGCAGAAGATACAAAAGTCTTTCAATGAACTGATTAACCCTTTTTAAAATGTACCTAAGAGGTTTATTTAAAGTCTGTTTTTATTCCACTTTTTTGTTTGTTTGGGGTTTTTTGTTTTATTTGTTTGGGGTTTTCAGGTAGAATAATAAATCTGGCAGCTGATTTCTGCAAGATTGTTGTGTATTGGATTCCTGACCATTTGGACTGGAGAGGCCCCTGCAGTAAGGTTTTGCTTGTGCAAGAAGAGATGATGGTTTGTTCCCAGTGTCTAGAATGGCTTCCTGCAAAATGTAACCACTCCAAAAATAAGTGAGGAGTATGTACAATCATGTGCATGTATATATATGAATTATAGCCAGGAATTAGATTGCCAAAGGCTTGTGTTTGACTGACAAAAGGGAGGAAGATGTAAAGAAAGATTGATTTGGACTAAGACCACGTACACGTTTTCACAGGGCATTTTAATATCCTACTGAATTTGAATGTGGGGTGTTTGGGGCTGGGGTGTGGATGCTGGGTTTTCTTTTGGTTGGTTGGATTTTTTTTTTTTTGGTTTGTTTTCAAGCTATGCTCCAAGTGAAGGGAAGATGCAGCCTTCACTTCTGTTTTTAGGAGGAGCTGTAATGGAGTTGGCTTGTGTGTGTTTGCATATGTGTCTTTCTGTTTGTCAGAGCAGTGAGTAACCCAGGTTACTACCACTGTGAAGCAAATCCAGGAGGCATCATACAAGACTTACGCACTGTGGTACTGCTATAGGTGCTCATGTTCCCTCTGCTATGACAGTCCAGTTGCACCAGTAGCTGAATGGAAGTGAAATTAGATAAGGACTTGGCAGATCCCCTCAGAATCCATTTGGGAGAGTTAAGAGTACAGGTTTTGGGCAATGCACAAATTTTGCTTTAGGGATATGACTTTCATGATAAGAGAGCCATAAGCCTTTTCTCTCAAAGGTCACACCAGGCTAACCTTCCCGCATGCCAACTACACCTTAGCATTGTATTCTCTGAAAGTGTGAATTTCATATGCTTGTCAGACCAAATCTGCCTGCTGTGGTAACTAGGGAAAACTGGGGTGATGCAACATTAAAGATTGTTTTCTTCAGTAATTCCCTGCAGAGAGTCCTTTGCTCAGAATCTTTTTGTCTTTGGGATTCTCTGATACCTGGGACTATTCCCCAGGGATTAGCGCTTAGCATTTTATTGCCCTCCCTGGTTTGGGCTCTAAATCCATTTTCACAGAGACAACATCATCTAGTATATATTTCTGCCTTGTTTGCATTTCTTTTTTTATTGGGTTGGATTTTGTTGGGTTTTGTTTGTTTTGGATTTTTTTTTTGTTTGCGGTTTGGTTTGTTGTTTTTTTTTTTTTTGGGGGGGGGGATGATTTTAATAGCAGTAAAGAGACCAATGTGTGCAAAAGGTGAGGAAATCTTTGAATTGTTAATGGCTGTACTTTCCCTCTGAAGGGTGTTATTTTGAGTTCATGTAATACAGGTAACAGCACCCATGAACAGCCATACTCAGTGTTGACATTAATAGCACTGAGGACTTCTACAAATAATCTCTGTCAAAGATGTTTTGGGAGTCTAAATTAATATGATATCTTACATTCTAAGAATCACTCTGAAGTACCCCACTTGGATCTAGTTTTAAGAGCCTAGGAGATTAATTCTTCAGTTCTCTTACTGGCTGTTTGGGGTTGTTTTTTTTTTGGTTGTGTGTGGTTTTTTTGTATTTTTTTAATCAGAGGCTACTCTGCTTGGAAAGGAGGTAGCAGGTGCCGGTGCCTCAGAAACTCCACTTTAAAGTCCCCTGTTTTGCTAAGATTCCAGGCTGAGAAATGGAGCATCTGCAATAAGTTACTGAGCCCTGCCCTCCTTGTTCTCTTAGAGAAGAGGGAACTACAGTCTTCTGTTGCTTCCACTGCAGGAGTGGTAATCTCTGGTAGAGCAGCAGGATTCCCAGAGGAGGGCCATGAAGATGATCAAAGGGCTGGAGCACCTCTCCTATGAAGACAGGCTGAGGGAATTGGGGTTGTTCAGTCTGGAGAAGAGAAGGCTCCAGGAGACGCTAGAGCAGCTTTTCCGTGACTAAAGGTGGCCTACAAGAAGGCTGGAGAGGGACTTTTTACAAGGGTATGTGGTAGGACAAGAGGGAATGGCTTTACGCTGAAAGAGGGTAGATTTAGTTTAGACATTAAAAAAAAAATCTTCACTGCGAGAGTGAACCTATGGCACGGGTTGCCCAGAGAGGTTTTGGCTGCCTCATCCCTGTCAGTGTTCAAGGCCAGGTTGGACAGGGCTTTGAGCAACCTGGTCTAGTGGAAGGTGTCCATGCACATGGCAGGGGGTTGGAATTAGTTGAGCTTTCAGGTCTCTTCAACCCAAAACATTTTGTGATTCTATGATTTTAGAACTACAAGATTTCTCAAAGGATGCCTGTCATATCTCTGAGAATCATAAATGCATCAGCAAAGTGCTGTACCTTGCTGCCCAGCTTTCATAACTGCGTAGGCAGGTGAAGTTATCTTTTACTTCAGGAGGTTGAAATATTGGTTTCCCCCTTGAAATACCAATATAATTTCTGTGGGAAGGAAATATCTGTGCCATCTTCTTATGTAATGATGTGAAAGAGTGAAGAGTCTCACTGACATTTTCCCAAAGAACTATTTTTGAGTGAAAATGACAAAGCAAACGTCACCAAAAGAAGGGATAAATAAACTCCTAGAAGGTATCCATACATCATGTTCTCCAAAACTGTAGTGTTATTTACCCTGGAAACGAATCTGGTCTTTAATACTGCCGCAGTATTCTCCTTAATACATTCTTTCATTGGTCTGACCTCAAATATACACAGCATGCCCTTAAGTTCTTTCTTTTTTTTTTTACATGAGCTTCCTGCTGACAGTAGAGGCTACATGAAGGTACCCCTGAGGCAGGGTCACAGTCAAACATTTGGGTCTGGGAAGCCATAGGTCTGTGTCTTTGCTCTTGCAAAAAGCTCTTCTACCCATATCCATGCTTTTTAGTTGCATGGTAGAGAGGTAATTACAGCTTTGTAATTTTTGGTTTTGTTTTGATCTTTGTTAGTTTCTGAGTAATAGTTACTTGTTTTGATTTAAAAGAAGTACCTCTATGTCCTCCAGGTAACAGGGTAGATACTGGAGCTCCAAAGTAGCATTTTTGCTGCGTAATCCACAGTGCAGGCTATGCCAATTCCTTGATGTTACCCTAAAAAGAGTAGAAGAGATTTCACTGTTTTCTTTCCTGCTCCCCTCTGTAATAGGACCCAGCTGATCTATCTGGAGATAGTTTAAACCAGTTCTTCACAGTTTTAACCAGTTCTTCACTCACACACAATATTTTAGTGAGCAGGGTTCTTGTTAGTACAGTGGCACTTTATAGAAGCTTAGGTATAGAGAGCTGAGTGTTATAGATGTACTGCAAAGGGCTCTCTACGGTGGCTTTCAGTAAAAGCTTTGCATGGGGAGTGGCATATGGCTACACGACCTAAATAGAGGGAGAAGGAGGTGTTTTTGCAGAGGTGCCAGCTCTGCAGATCTTGAGACGTTTGCTGAAGTACACAGTTAAGGCTGCTGCCTGGCCGGCTGGGATGAACCTGCCCTGGAAGACCTGGCGAGGAGCTCTGTGTGCACATAGAAAGCCAGAGAGAGCGTGATCCCAGCATGCCCGGGAGAGGCACAGAGATGGGAAAAAGTCTGTCGGGGCAATCTGGCCCTACCAAATAGCTAATCCAGAACTGATTAGTACAGGAAGGAGGAGGTTATATGACAGATATAGTAAATCAGATAATTGTTTGAAAGACATGCTGCAGGAGAATCATAAGAAATGATGGAAAGTAATAAACTCTGTAAACAGCAGTAATTTTTGTAAGATCCCAGTGCTTCTGGGTGTGCTCCAGGAAAAGGAAGAGAAAAAGTAAAATGCAGAAAGAGACAATAATATTAGATGACAACAGGAGTCGTAGCATGAACTGCATTAGGGGACTTGGAAGATTGCAGTGTTTTAGATAAGGAAGGGACAAAGATAAGCACAGAGTCAGTAAACGGAGATAAGAACAGGAGAGAGGAGGTAATTGGAGGCAGTGCTCTCTGTGGTCAGTGGGCCAAATGTGTTAGGCTAACAGAGCCACACAAGGGCTATGTTTGGCCCTGGTAGTATATCCCGAAGGACAGGGATATCAGAACTGACTTTGGAGTGATTTTGATAATTTAGTAAAACCATCTGCACAGTGTTTGGTGACTGTTAACAGAGCAAATAAGATAGTGGAATATGCACAGAGTGTTCTGGGCTATAAATGCAGTGACTTTATTGTCCCACTATATTAAAAAAAGAAACCCAAACAACAAAACACATGCATATACACAAAAAAGAAAATACCTTACAGGATAATGGGTCAGCTTGTGAGTTGGTGTAAATCAGCTTTGTTTCCTTGAAGTCAGCTAAGTAGCTTTATGCTAATAGAGTCTGTGGCCTGTATTTAGTAACGTGTATGCCTGTCTAGTGTGGTATATGCACAGGACACTTTTTTTACTTGTTCCATTATTTAGAAAGCTATACAAGTGATCAAGACCTGGGCCATAGTGTGAGACTAATAATAAAAATGAAATTAAACAAAAATATGTCTTCTGAATTCTACTGATGTAGACAACTCATTCAATTTTTGTATAAAGCTCTCTGCTGAAGCTCTATACACCCCTTTAATCCTCACACTGATCTTTTGTGACCAACTCTGGTAGACTGTAGCCCTGCTACAGACTGGAGTCCCTGCAGCAAGTGATTCAGCGCTGGTCTGTGCAAAGGTGTCTGGGATTTGTGGGGTCAGGCTGCCTTCCCAGCTGTTCATGAAGGTCTTGTGGACATTTCCAAGTCTTAAGCAGTGCACTAAGCTTCAAGGCATCCTAGGGACTAGCGAATTTCAGCTACATTGCAGATTTAGCCACAAAGGCTAGTCTTGCAAAGTAATTTCAGCCACTGCTCTGCTCCATACTACAAGGCTCTGTGAGCCCAGCTGCAAGAATTTATGATATCTAAGGGCCTCCACAGAATCTTTCAAAAGCTTTGGTCTGCTGAACCAGGGCTTCTGTGCTTCCTGTGGGAATGTACTGTGGGAGAAACAAAATGGGTGAAAACTTGGATCTGCATCTACAGA